CAACGCCCAACATCCCAACATCCCAACGCCCAACATCCCAACATCCCAATGCCCAACATCCCAACACCCAATGCCCAACATCCCAACACCCAACGCCCAACATCCCAACATCCCAACCCCCAACATCCCAAGGGCATTGAGAAGGCCATTCAACTGCTAGTGTCAGCAATCTCTTGTACTCCTTAACATAGCATTTTTTTATATAATCACTATTTTGATGATGTTTTCCTCATAATTTATAGTTACAGAATTTGAGAGAATATGTTTCCCTTGTCTCTGAATTGAATTACCTTTCATGAAAGTTAGGTACACAGATAAGAATTCAGTGTATTTGCCTTATTGTTTTCTAAGAGCCAATCATTAAATCCTTATATCTTATGTAGTCTGATTAAATATTGAATACATAGACAACAAAAGAATGATTTTGTGCCCTATGATGACTGATGAAACATGGTAATGCAAATTAAGTTGTTCCTATGGCTACAGATTATGTTTAAATGCTTTTCCAACCCTGTTGTGTGGTTGTCCTGGGAACAGCAAAGACAAGAGGTCCCACGTGATATCAAAAGAGCAACACAAGGCCTATTGTTGGGGCAGGAGAAAGAAATTGGGAACCAACATAACTGCAAGGTAGCATCAATGACCACCTTAGCAGCAGGCACTACTTTCTGAATGAAGACACTTTATCAGGAAACAGAGGTCTGGGGCTTTCATACCTATACAAATGACTATAGGACACTTGGTAACTGCAGCGTTGTAGATTCTTAAGATTTACTTACTGTGGAATTCAGGTCCTTTGGGAGTCTACTTACATTTGGGTCTGTAACAGTTACTACTGCTTCTGGAGGATTGGCTGTCATGAGTCCATTAAGGCAAATTTATTCCTTAAGGATTCAGCCAGACTGCTTCTGGGTAGGCTCAGATTTCAGTTGAGATGAGTCTGCCTGTGGCTGCCCTACTAAGGACATTACTAATTGTGATGGTCTGTTGGCTGCTGTTTTGGCTCCTGGTGGCAGGCAGCTCATCTCTGACAACCACTACATGCTGCTCATTGCAGGTGCTGACCCTCGCCAGCAATGAGCGAGTAGCCCTCACATCCTCCATGAGGCTTCTGTTTGAGACCCATCACCTGAGGACAGCCACCCCAGCCACTGTCTCCAGAGCTGGCATTCTGTATGTGAACCCACAGGATCTGGGCTGGAATCCGTGAGCATTCCCTTCTTTTCTTACTTTTTGTTTTTTATCATGAAAACGCATGTGACATAAACTTGATTGTGTTACCATCAACGGGGACAAAGATGAGTGTCAGAGAGTGTATAGACATGGTTGTACCACAGCCGCCGCCACCACCAGCCATCCGAAGAACTTTCCCCATCTTCCCCGATGGAGACTCTGCCTGCTAGGAAGGAACTCCCGTTTCTCCCTTGCCTGAGTTCCCTGCCTCTGCCTCTCAGGTACTGGGATGATGTTATAAACACAGACCTGCAGATCCACATTGCTCTTCAAGGCCCAGCTTCAGTTCCTTAGGGACAATCTCAGGATTGCTAGATCAAATGCTAGTTCACCTTTTAATCTTTCAGGAACTGGTATCACATTTAACCACAGTGGCTGTACCATGTTACCTCCCTACTGGTCCCGTACTGTGACCTTGCCAGCACAGTCCTCCTTTCTTTTGTTCTAGGTTTCCTCACTGTCTGTATTTCTAAGAGCCTCACTGAGTGGTGTGAGGCGGTATATGACTGTACTTCCACACTCAGGTTTCCCTGGTGGCTAGTACTCTGTAGGACATTTTCTGTGTGTGTGTGTGTGTGTGTGTGTGTGTGTGTGTGTGTGTGTGTGTGTGTGTGTGTGCTCACACATACGCTAAGTGTTTGCATGTCTATGAGAAAGGTCTCTGTGTGACTCCTGTGTCCATTCTCTAACCACCTGATCTTGAATTTTATTTATTTATTTTAACCTCAGTTAAAGTGATTTGAAGAATACATTGCTAATTAAATGTCAGGCTCATGGCATTAATTTAAAGGTAATTAGATTAGCACCCAGGTGTCTTGAGTCATTTTTACCTACAGATTATCTTGATTGCACACATTGAAAATATTTAATGCTCAGTACACATGCGTCGAATAAAATGAACAAATGATCATTCATATGGAGCTCTTGGATAAATAAATTGTTTTGTTAGCATTTGCATGTCTGTTCGAGTAACACAAACATATATGTAAATGGTGGAAATGCTGCATTCAGAGCAAGGGTTGTATCTCTTGCTTAGATCACACCTCTCAGTTCCTGTGTGGTTGTGTGTCTCCCACAGTGTTCTTACTCTGAGAACCTCTCTGCTGGGCAGGTGACCAAGGGCTCCTACAGCAGGCCCCTCTATACAGCCCTCTCACCTTGTCTCTGCCCCAGACACTGTTCCATGTAACCACATACCTGGGCTCCCTGCCTCCTGGCTTCTGGTTTCTTTGGCTCATGAAGAACCTTAGCAGGGAATGAGAGGGAGAGATGAGAGCAGGATGGATCAGGCTCTTTCCTGATCCCTCCCCAACAAGGTCCCATTGGGATGGCTGTGGAGCTCAGCTCAGTAGCTCTTCTGTGATTCTCCTGAAACTGCCTTCTCTAGGTCCTGCCCGTCATCAGTTCCCATGTCCCAGCATTCCTTGCTTTCAGCCTGTGCTAATGAGTGTCCTCTCACTGTTGCTGGAGTTTCTTTCCAGCCTGGTCCCAAAGCCACTTTGCCCCAAATAAACACATGGATGGATGCTATATTAATTGTAAAACGGTTGGCCGATGGCTAGGGCTTCTTACTGGTAGCTCTGTCTTAATTATTAACCCATAACTACTAATCTGTGTATTTCCACATGGCCTTATCTTACCAGAGAATGCCTGGCATATCCTGTCTTCCTGGTCTCTACATAGTGTCTCTTGCAGCGCCTCTCTGCCTCTCTTCCCAGCATTCTCCTCATCTCCTAATTCCGCCTATCTTCCTGCCTTTATTGGCCAAGTGGTGTTTTATTCATCAACCAATAAGAGAAACATTAAGAAGAACATTCCCCATCACCTCACTGTAGCAAATCCTAAGAATCTGAGTTTATAAAGAGAGAAAGCTGACTTGGTCTCCAGCAGCAGAGACTCGGTCTCTCAATTTCTGGGCCCTTCGTTTAGGGGGCTGTGATGAAGTAGTGCATTGTGGTAGAACAGAGCTGTTCCCCTTGTGACCAAGATATCAGAGAGAGGAAGGAAGAGACCTGGGCCTCCACAGTCCTTTTTAAAGACACAGGCACATCTGTATCTGCCACACACTGTATCGTGCGGGTGCTGCCGGCAAGGCATTGGCATAGCACCATGTGTTAAGGATCAAGCCCTTAGCCTAGAGGGGTTTTGAGGTTCCCTCCAAACCCAAACCTTGTAGCTCTTTGGTTTCTCTACACCCTGCTGTCACTTTATAGCTTTCAGTCATCTTGTCTGTACTTTGAGAATGACCCCTGCTCCCTGCCGGATGCTGCCTGTCACTCTCCTTGTGTTTTGATGGTGACAGAGAGGAGACCATAGCCAGGTCTTTGTGTTTTAGTAAAACCTGCATTTGTCTGAGGGCAAGGGTTTTCAGCCTCTGCAATGCAAAGTTGCTCTTGGACTAGCATCTTCCTCTAGGTAGAATTCTGTCCCTGGGGCGTATCTGTTGGTTAGGACTGGCTTCAGGAATTTTTTTTTTAACATCCACCCTCCACTCCCCTGACAGGGTAGGGCCCTCAACAGGGACTCAGCAGTGTCCACCAGAGCTTCCTGTGCTGGTCCTGGGCCCTTCCCCATGTGTCCAGGGCCAGAATGTATCCCTTCACGTGGGATGGGCTCTCAAAGTCCCTTCTTGCACCAGGGAAAAATACTAATCCACCACCAGAGGCTCCCTGGAGTGCAGAGGCCTCCTCATTGACATCCATGTTCAGGGGGCTGGATCAGTCCTGTGCTGGCCTCCCCGACAGCATCTGGGGTCGATGTGCTCTCCCTTGTTCGTGATGGCTTCGGGAATCTTATAACTGCCCTTCAACGCCCCCACGCCCCGAGCAGGGTCTTCCCTGTGAGGCAGGCCACATCCACTTCCTTCAGACATCTCTCATCCGTTCCGCTGTGTTCTGACGGCTCCCAAGTCCCTTTGTCCTTCAGTCTCCGTCATATCATAAGGCAGTTTGTGCTGACAATAGCTCAGAATGACTGTCTACCTAAAGAGGGACATTTACTCAAAAACCCAGGTAGCTTCGGGAGCCATCCAGTTTGTACTAAGAGCTAGAAGACTACTCTCGCTGTTTTGTCTCTGTGTATGAAGGCTTTCATTGTATCAGACATGAAATGTGTTGGTTTTAATTTTCATGTGAGTGACCAAAGGTCCAGCCAAGACATTTCCAGAATAAAGGAAATCTTATCTGAGGGTATTTTATTTTTCACTTGCTGTTGCCAGAGAGTTCCAGCAGTCTCGGGGTCTCAGGTACTTCCTTTCACTCTGCAATTATTAGATCATTTACTGCCTTACTTTAATGCCATAAGGTGATGGCTTTCTATGTCTTGTTTATTCAATATTCATTTACATTCAGAAATCAATATATTAACCTCATTTTCTGAAGCAGTATGTTTTAAAAAGTGTCAGCTTTCTAAAGCTGTTGGCTTCCAGAACTATGGGGAAATTGGGAGCATAGTACAGATCACAATCACAAAACCTTGTTCCTAACACATCCCCCTGCCATGTTTCCACCTTGGCTTTGTCTCTGGCTGACATACCTATACATGCAGGTGTATGTAGAAGGCTGTTTCCTTCTGTGACTTTTTGCAGAAATCCTTGAATGGTAGTGGAGACAATAAGATATTTTTTTCTGTAGGTACTTAAGCATTTCTTTGCTGAGAGCTAGAGTACTCTTTTCATAACTCATTGTAATTCATACACCTAAGACATCTGTCTTAAATAGGCAAGCATTTTTTTAATCTTGTGAGTTACACACATAATTTCATTTTTGCCTTTAAAAAGAACCCACCATCAGAACAAAGATTGTATTTATTTGGCTCTGTTGTCTCCATTTGCCTAGAACATTCCACCAACTTTCTCTTTCATAACATGCATAATTTTGGAGAGAAAAACTCAGGTCCCTCAGAGGGATGTCCCGTTGGTGGCTTGGAAATGGCGATTTTCTCATCCAGTCATTCTTTCTGCATGTTTTTCTGTCAAGAACCTTTTTCTCACATCTATTTCCCTCCATACTTGCACTCCTCCTATTCAACTCTATGTTCCTTGTCATATTCTGTTCTTTATTCATGGTTTCTTGCATCAAGATTTCTTGTTTTTTTCCTTTTTGGTTCTCAGATTGTCACAGATGTTGCTAGGAAGAGCCCCTCCCTTCAAGCTCATGTCTTCTGTATTCTTTAGTTATCTTTCCGAGTCTTTGTTGGGCACTTAGATGTTTAGTTTCAGAGTCTCCTTACTTGAAACCTAAATCAGCCATTTCTCTAAGCAACTGGAAGGGGTGCTTCTAGTATAAGCGGTTCTGTTTAGAATCCAGGCTGGATTCCCTGTACTCACTGCTTTTCAGAGCCCTTCGTTTGTATTATATGTCCTGCAGCAGTAGTCCATTCCAAAATGCCCATCCCAAAACCTTCAGTTCTTTGCGAGATGGGAACAAATGCAGACAGATGCACATCTAGGTCTTAGGTTTTGCCATAGCCACATACAATGGTCCAGACCTCTAAATTTTCTGTCTTAATGTCAGTTGTTATTCCAAACTATAACAATTTAGCAATATTCTCTACATGAAAATTTCAACTGTCTGTATTTGTTGATAGAAACCTTTTTACCCCTTTTTGCTGTGTGATGACATTGAACTTAATGTTCAGTAGAGGTCATTATTGGCCATCGTTCTGGCAGACTCCTTTCTGACTCCATGGCCTGTTTTGGTCAAGCTTGCTTCTCTCTAGAGCATCTGCTATTCACAGAGACAATAGGGCCACAGCAGTCATGGCATCATTTGCCAGTGGGTCTTTCTTGTATGCTTCACAAAGGAGGTTCTGGCTGCAACCAATGCAGCTCAGCAAACAGCTCATAGACACAAAGCTGCCCCCTAGACACAAAGCTCACTCTGGGGATCTTTTGGTGCCTGCTGCTCCTAGTGAGCCCTGCAGTGGCCTTCTGTCTCCCAAGTCAGGCAGAAGACATTGTGTAGGAAGGTAAAGTGTGAGATGTTTATGCTCAGTAGAGCCCTATCTGACAATTCTTGTACTCAACTGAACAAATTGGGGAGGTGCGCAGAGAGACAGAGGCAGGATCTGAACCCAGGCTTCTAATGCCGCCAACTCATGACCGGTAGTAACTTGTTAAAATGCTGATCAGAGTTCTTCATGCTGTTACCATGGGAACTCCATAGCATCGTCATCATACTGCTCAGGATCTTAGCCAAAATCCAGGAAGCAATCATCTCCATTCATAGCTGGAAAATCAAGGCAGAGGGGTCACCTTCCCCAGGTGACCTGGTTAAAAATAAGGGAACTGGATGCAGGTTCAGGGCAATTCTGGTTAAGAGTGTTGTCTCCCTGAGCAGTACTCTTCCAACTCCTTCTACCCTAAGTTCTGGATACAATTCCCTTCTGGGGCTGGCAAGATGGCTCCCAGGTAAAAAGGGGCTTGCTCCCAAGCCTGACAACTCGAATTTGATCCCCTGGTCCCACAGGGCAGTTGGAAGGAAAGAACCAACATGTACAAATTATCCTCCGACCTCCACATTTGAGCTGTAGCATATAGGCACCCCCTAGCCCTCCCTACATACTAAATACACAAATAAAATAACAGGAATTCCACTCTGGTTCTATTCCCTGATGAGCTGAGAGTTAGTCGATGAGGTTAAATGTGGTCTTAATGCCTTTGTTCTCAGTTGCTGCTGCTGTCACCACCTCAGGGGTACTCTGCCACACTGCTCTCATGTGAGTGGGCTCCTACTGAAGATTTGATAGCTGTCGTTCTGTAAGCCAAAGCACAGTATAACAATGGTGAATATTTTATATGACCCTTCATAGAAGTCTGTGGAAAGCGCGGAATGCTTTGATGACACACACACCTTAATCTTCATTTATACCATATTCAAGATGCTGACTCTGGTTTGCCTTTACCACAAGGCCTGGCTGTAATCGGTCTGTGGCAGCCCTGTTCATGCACAGGCTGCTAAATGTATTTATTGCCACCGCTTCCTACTTAAGTACAACTTTCTGAGTGATTCTTTTTCATTTAGCATGTCTTAGTTGTACCCCAGAGGCCACTAAGGATGCCATCATGGCATTGGTAAGCAGTTTACTAATACGATGGCGATGTTTAATGTATCAAAATAAACATTTTACAAGCATGAGGCAGCTATATCTATGCATCATATAAATATCAATATCTTAAGGCATGGCATACCATTTCTGAGTCCCTGGCTGTGAACACATTATCCCTTTCAGGTTAGTGTTACAGAGTCCGGTAGAAAAGCAGGTCGAAGTAGCCCCTCCGGACTGTTTGCCTCTTTATTTATAACCTATTTCTCATTACTAAATAATTGATGCCAAGATTAATCAAGAAAAGCACCAAGCTGTTTTCATAAATAAAGCCTCCATTGTGAGCAGTCTGTTCATTTGGGAAATGACAGTGCACTTTCCTGCGAAGTAATGGCCTACTTAGGCGCGATTATGTTTGCCTTCTAAGAGCTATTAGGAGTTTCTTTTACATTCTTTTCATTAAAGTAAAAATGGCCATTAAAACCAAGTCTTTAAAAGGGCCATTTAAAAATATTTTCCATTTGAGAAATAGAGCGAACCACTCAACGTGTCCGTGAAGTGTTGCGCCAAGCTGTGTGGAAAGGGGGTAGCTTCGAACTCGGTGGCATCCCGCTTTTCAAAGCCCTCGTTCGGTAAAAGCTTTTCCGTTCTTTTTCAGGTATGTGGCCAGTTGGATAGACAGAAGACGGCATCAATCAGAAAAGGCCAATTTAACTATTCTTTTTGATAAATACATTCCCGTGTGCTTGGAGAAGCTAAGAACCAGCTTTAAATCCATCACTTCTGTTCCAGAGAGCAGCCTGGTGCAGGTTTGTGCCAGCCTCAGCAGCCAATTTCCTATGCCTGCACAAGTCAGGAGCAGCACTCATGTTGCTTGCTTAAGAAGATGGAGAAGATGCTGGTAGGACTGCCCAGGGCTAGAGGCTCCTGGTGTAAAGCCTAATGATTCAGGTTCCAACCTGGGCCCCACATGGTGGAAAGAGAGAATCAGCCTCTACAAACTATCCTCTGACCTCCATTGGGTGCCGAGGCAGCCTGCACCTGTACACATGCACATGCCTGCTCCCATAAGTACAGATAAATAAGTTTTTAAAGATATTTTTCAGAATTGTTAGGCTTCTTCCAGCCTCCTGCCATAGCCCCTTCGGTCCCTGGAAGTTTGTGAGGACCCCAGGAAGTGAACTCTATGAGCACTTTCCTTCCCCCAAGCCCCCCTCCAGAGATTTACACAGTTGTAGCACTCAGTAAACACCACATATGAATGCTCTCATGGGATCATCATGTCATTCCAAGCAGGCTGGGACAGAGCTAGAACAAAGTTGCTACAGCATCATTTATTTATTTATTTTTCTAGTTGTCACTGTGAACACAATGCCTGGCAGAAACAAGAGAGGAAAGCCTTATTTTGGCTCACAGTTACCAAAGGGTTTCAGCCTTTCCTGGTGCAAAAGGCAAGACTGTGGGAACATTGTGTTCCCACTGTGTTCATAGTTCGGTAAGCCAGGAAGCAGAGAGCACAGGATCCAGAACTGGGTCCCAACCTTCAACAGCCTGCCCCTAGTGATCTATACACAGCAGCTGGCTGCCCCCTCAAGGTTACATGGGTGTGTGGCGTGCCCATGCATACACACACACACACACACACACACACACACACACACACTCACATACTCAAAGCATTTCAGATCCAAACCATAATGTTGCACAGAGAAATGTTCCACGTGTTTTTGAATCAGATAACCCGGCAATGCACAAATGATGGTCAGTAAAAATCAAAGACGGTGCCTGATTTTTCCACACAGGCTCCTGAAGGCATGTCAGGGTGTGTGTGAAGAATCTGGGAGGACCCAGGGATCTTTTTTTTTTTTTTCTGATCCTTGTGGGCAGACAACTAGTGCCAGTAAAAGACATGGATTTTTTTACAGCAGCAAATGGGAGCTATTCACAACAGAGAAGAGCAAAGGTCATGGTAGTAATGTTGCAAGAAGTGTCAAACTTCACTAAAGGTTTACAATAGAAATGGATTCCCCCTCCAGGAAAAAAATGAGCTCCTCAGAACTTTGTTCCCATCAAGTTACTATGTTACCAAATTTGTTTGAAGCTGAATTAGAATAATAAGAAGGGAAAGTTCAGGTTTTTTGGATAATTCACAGACCAATTAAGTAAACGATAGTATTCAACAGTAATTATCCGAGGTATAATTTATTTCTGAAAGCAGGTCTGAATTTATTCATAATGAATTAATTATGTGGTTAGCCTAATTAGACTTCCTCGGGTGTAACGCTTGTAAAAAGCGGGATTGCATTCTTTCTCAAGTTGACTTGTATATTTGTGTGATTCTCTGTGGTGTGAACTCTGCCATTCAGGAGTAGTGTGAAAATAGGTCTGTGGGAATTAGCATGATTTCTGCTCTCCACTCTTCACTTTGTAGTATTCAGAAATGGCATTTAATTCTTAGCTATTTTAAAGCTGTTATTTTTGACCACTATTTCCTACAGTTTCTTAGAAGTACAGGAATTTAAGTAAAATGAGTAGACAAGAGAACAGCTTAAGACGACGTTCATACAAAATCAATGCTCAGTGTTTCTCAGCATGTGGAACTTCCTTAAGTTGGATGGAGTGTGTTAACTCTTGAAGCTAAAGTGTAATTTTATTAGTTGCTTACATAGCACTCAGAAATGTTTTCAAGTACTTTCTGGGAGAATGGAGCCCAACCCTAAGACTTACTAGTATATCTACTAACAGCAGCCTACTGTGGCCCATTAGTCCTCTTTGCCTTGATTTTAGCCATTCCTTTAGAAACCATGGTTTCTCCTCACATGTAACAAAGTTACAGAGATTCATGCTCATTTTCTTCCTAAGAAATTGATCGGTTTTATTAGCAAACCATCTCAAATTGGCAGATGATGTAAAATGACAGCAATAGGGAGATTTTAAAATACAACAGGTGCTTTTCCTATTTCAATAAAAATCCCTTCCCCCTCTTTCCTGGTTGGGAGAGAAAGGTGCTCACAGATACTAGGCCTGAGTCATGGGCCTATGCAGGCCTGGGGTAAGAGCTTCTTAGTGTTAGAGCCTATGATTTCAGTTATGACAGATATTTTGTTCTCTGGGGAACTAGTCCACAAGTGGAATTGTTACTCATGTATGTGAGTATGTATGTGGGTGATTGTGTGAATATGTAAGTGTGTGAGTATGTGTGTGAGTGTATGAGTGTGTTTGAGTGTGAGGGTATGAATGTGTGAGTATGAGTGTAAATGTGTGTGAGTGTATGAGTATGCTGAGTGTGTGTGTAAATGTGTGAGTATGTAAGTGTGTGTGTGTGTGTGTGTGTGTGAAAGAGAGTATATGTATATGTGAGTGGGGGGCACTGGTTTGCCTAGTTTATCTATTGATTGTTATTTGAGTCATTTAAAATGCTTTTTTTTCTCCAAATCTTTTATTATTCCAAAGGTTGATTAAAGTGGCAATTTTTTTGAACCACTGAATTAGACATCCAAGTCACAGTCATTTTTTTTGTGTGTGTCTCTAACCTTAGCATATCACCGAGTTTTCAAAAATTGCATAATTTCTTAAGAATGAGGTAGAATTAGTAAGTAAATATTTGACCCTTCTCCAGCATTGAAAAAAAAATGGTTGCCCTAAATTAATGGTGTTTTCTTTTTCTTCAGACTATTTGTACTCTTTTGGAATGTTTGCTGACTCCCGAGAATGTACCTTCTGACAGCCCCAAAGAAGCCTACGAACTCTATTTTGTCTTTGCTTGTGTCTGGGCATTTGGAGGCACTCTGCTCCGAGATCAAGTATGCTGAAAGGGTTTCCAGAGACGGAAATGTGTAGGGAAGTTGGGTTAAAAAATGTGACTTGCATCTTTTAGTTACGTCATCACCTGTCTCTGGACCTGCCCTCTTCTGAGCTATGGACACTGTCCCTCTGGGGCATCCCCACAGCCTTAGCTCAGGGATGGATCATTTCAGACTACCCTGAGGTAGCCGAAAGTACTGCAATACATGTCTCACAGTACTGGAAGTGGCATCTCAGCATGACAGTGTGGCTGGGTTCTCATGAAACTTCTTCCCATCTTACACATGATGCATCCCATAACCTTATACAAACAATAGAAGGGAAAGGTCACTGGTTCTCTTCCCATGAGGGCACTCATCTCTTCCTGAGGGCCCTGCCATGACATCAATTAAACCTAAGCATCCCTTAAGGATGCTATTTCCAAATGCTATTGCCTTAGCTGTTAGGAATCCCACAAGTGAATTGGTGGAATGGGGAGAGGATGGTGGTGGAACAAGTTGGTGATAGCATCTAGTATCCTTCAAATAGCTCTGCTTCCAGTCAATCCCAACTCTAATCAGTCTGCAACTGTGTCCTCAGGATTGTCTTCTGTGAGACATAGTCAGTGCCAGTGCCATTGTTTTCCATGATCGTGTTTGCTTCAGCATGTACAGAGTTCTGGCATAGCTTTAAGGGCTTCTGGTGTCTTACAGGAAACACTTTAGACACATCTGTGCAAATACACACCTCGTCCCACTCCGTCCCAATACACAGGCCACTTAGACTTACCAAGTGCCAGAAACATGTGGGTCTCACCTCCACCATCTGCTTCCAAGTGCAGATTTTTCCTGTGTCATCTCTGTCCAGTTGCATTAAGATAGCCTCAGTGTGCAGAGAAAGCCAAACTTTGTCCCTCATAGAGACAAAGATCTTGTCCCAAGACCTCCTGGTGGCTGCAGCAGGGTTCTTACTCAAGCTTGCCAATCTTCAAAGACTACACCTCCCCTGGTGCTTCAGCACATCTCAGGCCATGGTACTTCAGTACCATGACTCTTTTGGTTAAAATGGTGTGCCGTTGGCTAGCCAATTTGCTGTCTCAGATCTCCCCAGGCTTAAGTAGGGAATTCCCCTCAGAAGGCATTGAATCTAAAAGTGACCCAGTTCCGCCAATTCCTCACTACTGATGGAAACTCTGGGCTGGCTCTCTTTCTTGTTGCTGAGTTAGCAGAACACACATCTATAAATAAGCATGAGCCTCACAAATCATTGTCCACCCCTGTCACCTGCCAGATGTCCTTCTGTGATCTCCAAGTGCCTCCCAGGGAACAGCAGCCAGTACTGCTTTCAGTGAGAGTCGAGGGCTAAGTCTGCTTCTACTTCCTCTCTGGGTTCCCCTTTCTCTGGCAGAGGGTGGATGTCACATTTGCTTCTGTCCATGCTCCAAACTGATCACCTTACTTTAACAAATCTAACAGCCAAGGAGGTACCACAAAGTTATTTCCATGATGGAATTTTTAGGCAAAGCAAAATTTGAAGTGATGTAGAAGTCACGTTTTGCATTTTGTGCAAGAGAATGGAACCAGTGTGAGTAATCGTCCTTGGATTATTTAAAACCACATTGGCTTAGCTTCAGGCTGAAGTTTATAGGAAGATAAAATATCCCATGCCTCTGCTATGAAAATAATTTCAATGAGGGTAAATGCCTTAGCACGTGGATGCTGGCAACAAGAGCACAAGCTCCGCTGGTTTGGAGGTGGAGAAGGGAAGGATTCTCATTCAGAGTGCTCACCCCACCCAGTGTTAGCCACAGTCTCCACATGCCTGACTGCTCATAAATATGAGCAGCCTGGTACTAAAAAGGACCACCATGGCCCAAGGACACAGGAACATCAGATGAAGAGCTGGGAAAAGTAGGATCTGAGATCCTAGATGAGAACAAGATTGCCAAAGAACCCACAGTGTTTTCAGATTTTACTGAAATTCACCAGGTCAGATCAATCCCAAAGTTATAGGAGTCCCTGCTCTAGACCTCTGAGAATGTATGAGCTACTGGCCCAGCTTTCCAAGGATACAAGAGTTGATTGACCAGCCGTCTGAGGATATATAGCTCATTTTATCAGACTATTGAGTCCCTGAGCCAGACCACTGAGGATGTAGGGGGCACTGCCCACTTTCCTTGTATCCTACTCCCTAATAATCAAGCAGTGAGAGCTTGTATGTATTACTTGCTCAGACAGCACACCCATTATAGAGATGGGGCACTGCCCCATAACTTTCCGGTAGGACAGGAACTCATCTTTATGGGGTTTTCAACCAGACTCTCAGTTCTGTCCTGCTGGAAACCAAGGCTAGACTGTCCTCCACCCCTTCTTCCCTGTGCATTTCCAGGTCTAGAAGTGGTGGGTCAAGGGTTAAGAATGGTTTTTGTTACTGTAGTGTTGCCAATATGTTACTTTTTAAAACGAAGACTTTTTTAAGTACTGTTTTCATTATCATCATTTTGTAAAAGAAATGATTATCAAACAACAAAAGGGCCTGGAGGCTGGATATTTTTTTTTTTTTTTTTTTTTTTATTAAATAATTATAAAAAAAAAAAAAAAAAAAAAAAAAAAAAGGGGGGGGGGGGGGGAAAAAAAAAAAAAAAAAAAAAAAAAAAAAAAGGCAAATCTCTGTCCATATAATTTACTACTTTAAAAAACCCTCATCCCTTGTTTTCTCCTGTTCCCATTAGTTGGTGCTAACAGGGTGGAAATCAACCACAGTGCTGATCTCCATTGTCAAGTAATATCTGGCATGGTGATTTGCACAGTGATTCATTGCTAGATTGAATAATAGGAGTGACTCGTAAGGCTTTCCCAATATCACCTTGCTTCCTAAGCCTGCTTTGTACAACTCATAACCACCTGTCACTCACTACTTTCTATCTACATATCAGCATTACTGATTACAACTCAGATCTAATGTTTAATATAATGAGGCGAATTCCCTTCTAGGAATTTGGTTTGTGATTATGGCGCAGTACCTGCAAGCAGCAGAATTTGTAGGGGTTGTATATGCTTTCTGGGTCTATGCTAAGGAGTTCTCCTATCCTCCCTAGCTTTCTGATTATCAAGCCGACTTCAGTCGGTGGTGGCATAAAGAAATGAAATCGGTGAAGTTTCCATCCCAGGGAACCATCTTTGATTATTACCTGGACCACAAAACTAAGAAATTCTTGCCTTGGACTGACAAGGTGCCTCCACTCACCATGGATGTCGACCTGCCCCTGAAGGTAGGTGTGTGGAGTATCAAGAGCCCAGCTCTAGGGTGTGTTTGAGCCATTTGATGATCTGAACCTCTGGTCCCCCCCCCAGGGGTAGCAACATTGAACCCTTAGCCTGAACTGACAGCCCCACCTCTATATCCTCAGACAGCAGTCCTGTCCCTGAGATCTGGGTAGTAGCATAGTAGCCAACTGAAACTAGAGAAGGGCCCTACCCTCTGCAGCTGAGGTTAGAGCTCTTTGGGTCCATGGTGGCAGTGGTGGCAGCAACAGCAGTATAGGTCTATACATTGTATTTTAGAGTCCCAGAAGTCCCCAGAACTTTAGTCATAATCTCCTGCATCTATCCTGTTTAAGCTGAGAGACCAGAATGTTACAGTCCCCTTATAGAGCTTGTTGTTCATGGACTAATGGCCTCTACCAGACTCTGCCTCTCAAATGTTCTACCACCATTTTCCAACACTACCGCATGGGACTGAGACTTTAACCCAAGAACATTTGAGGCTCACACATTGCATTGACAGCAAACGGCAGTTTGAACACAGTGGAGGCCACCAGGAAAGGAAAGCAAAGAGGAACACCAGGCATTAGGAGGCTACTAGCCATGTTTGCTGCATATACTGTAGTCTGTCATTTTATCCAGCCTACCTCCGTCTTCACTGCCCAGCAGTATTTCTTAGCTGGTTGAAAACTGAAGACAAGAACTATATCAAAGCTTAATATATCTTATCACTCATATTCAGAAGAGAACAAAAAAGGGCATTTTAGTCAACAAATGTTATTGAACTCAAAAACCAATTTTCTTTCTGGGAAGTTTTACACTTTACATTTGATGGTACCAAATATGGTTGTTCTATTAGCAGCCTCTTTACACGATGGAGCAGGACCATGGGAAATTATAAATAATACCATATTTCCAGGCCCTTTCTAAATAATGTAGATCTGTGAACAAATTTATTCTTTTTGCATATATGTGTTCATGTGTGCATGCATATATGTGTGGGATGTGTGCCTGGGTGTCAAAAGTCAACCCTGTAAGAAAGGGGTTTTTTGGGTATGTTTGTTTGTATTGTTCATCCCTTTTAAGTTTGGCCACCAAGCAATGCAGCAAAACAGCAGCTAATTTTCTGTTGTGCAGAATTTTATCTGAGTATTTATTTTATTCTGTACTTCCTGAGTCTATTATTTATTATTACTATGTGTGTGTGCATACACTTGCACACAACACATGCACACATGCATGCATACACATGATGTCACCAGGAGAAAGGACACGTTATGGAGACTCAGTTCTCTCCTTCTGCCTTTGATGGCTTCCGAAGACTGAACACTGGCTGCTGAACACCCAAGACCGGTTGCTGGACTGGCACAGTAAGTGCCTCTCCTTGATGAGCCATTTGGCCTGCAACTCTGAACCTAATTTTCACTCATTTTGTTTTATTCTTGTAGGCCACTTCAAATTTCTGTGGAACATTATGGTAGCTAAATAAATAAATATTAATAAACTGCCAAATTTCAAAGTATAAGCATAAAGGCTTAATTTTTAACAGAAGTTTCATATATGCTTTGGATCTGGACACACTCCACCCATTCCCCTAAATGGTGTCTCCTTGCACTGAATACTTTTGCTTAGACTGTGCCATTTTTGCCAAGATACTGCTCCACCTTTGTGAGTAGCTTTACTTCCCACTGGTCTCATCAGCTTCTGAAAAGGGTAGATACTTCATACCATGTCTGCTTTATTCTCTCCCATAAATATCTAAGATATCTGGGGGAAGGAGGGCCTCTGTCTGGGAAAGGGAACTGGGGGTGAGTCCTTTCCTTGGAATGATGTTCCAGAAATTATTGGCATTGCCCAGCTGCCCTCCTGCAAGCGGTGGCATCTACACTACTGGTCATGAGCTTGTACAGAGTTCTTTGTGTCTTAAATAGAAATTGGGTGTTGTGTCAGTCTTGGAGCTCGGTAATGCCACTGTCTTTCTTTGACCTTGTGCTTTTCTTTCCCAGACACTTCTGGTACACACACCAGAGACAACTCGTCTTAGATATTTTACTGAGTTGCTGCTGGAGAAAGGCAAACCGCTAATGCTAGTTGGAAATGCAGGAGTGGGGAAAACAGTCTTTTTGAGCAACACCATGGCAAGTCTGTCTGAGGACTACATAGTGTCCCGTGTGCCTTTCAACTACTACACGACATCTGCAATGCTGCAGAGTAAGTGCTCCTCCTCTGGCTGTACAGAAAGGATACTTTGATGTGGCCCACACAGCTGGTAAACAGACTTTAACTGTTGCTATGAGTTAGTTTGAAACAAAGTATCACCATCTATCCCAGACTTTCCTGGGATTTGTGATGCTTCTGTCTCAGCTTCCTGTGTGCTGGGATGATAGACTTATGTGTCCCCCCGTGCATGGATAATTTTGACCTTTACTTTCCCTCCCAGCCTTTCTGGGGTTATTACTTTGTGAATTTACATTCACATTGTTAATTATGTTGCCTGTAAACCATTTAATTCCCTGTAATTAATTCATGGAACTGGGTAATACAAGGGTGTTAAAAAAAAAAAAAGGAGGGTCCCTCTGGCTACTCTTTCAAGTAAGGAATTGATTCCGGAGACACTGAAAGTATGTTGAATGGCATGCCCAACTTTGAATTATTTAATTTTTCCCATTAGAATTATTTAGCGTGGGAGGGTGGAACATATGTAGAAGACAGAGCAACTTACTGGAGTCTGCTCTCTCTTTCTACCTTGTGGGACCCAGCCATTACCTGCTGAGCCATCTCAGTGACCTTGTCAATCAGTGCAGGTACGTGTGTGTGTGTGTGTGTGTGTGTGTGTGTGTGTGTGTGTGTGTTGAGCTATTGTGTAAATGTATTTAAGAAACAGAGGCTTTGCATTCTGAGAGTCACATGGACAGCTGATGCCAGTAATCCTGTTGCTACCAGCACAAGGAGAGGGACAGCAAGGCACTGAGGTCTCGATTGCTGATTGAAACTGTTGGGTTGCTCTAAATGTGGGTTCCTGGAATGTACACATTCATTCCTGTGTGATTTTCATGGCTGTGTTGTTGGAGACCAGTAGTAAACACCCTTTCCCTCCAACATTAGCGCAGTCAACAGTGGATATTCTATGAGCTCTTCCTTCAATCAGTTTGTTTTGTTTTTAATGAATGAAATTAATTAGAAGGCTGATTCTGCTTTGTTTCTTTACAAAGCATTATGATTTCTGTACTTGTTCCTAGGCATTGTATGAGGAATGGCTTCTGTTTAGAAGTGCAAAGGAAAGAACTCCTTATGAGTTAAGAATGGGAGATTAGGGTACAGCCCATCAGTTCAATAAATGATATAGTAAGATACACCTACTTCCCAAGAGGGACAGACAGAAAAAGGAGATGCTTAGCAGATTAGGACAGGGAGGAGCTACAATTGTCGATGAACTCCAAAACAGAGAGTTTGAAGCCTATGACATAGGTGTGTCCAGGCAGAGAAGACTCAGGATGGAAGGACCAGCTTCAGCAGAGAAAACTATAAGACAATGGGCTGAAAAGATAACTGGGACATGGTAGTTAAGGAGAAGAGAGAGAGGGAGGCTGGAGTCAGGGCTGTGCTTCAGACAGGGATATCAGCTGTCCAGCTCAGGGACAGTTCTGGATAATAGGCTAGCTGAGCACCGTAGTTGAGGAGACTGGGTTGTGTAAGCCGGGGAGATGGCATTTCACATAGTAGCATGGGCTGTGTGAGCTGAGGAGACCACATTTCACAGGGTAGCAATGGCAAACCACTGAGAGAGAGCAAGAAACCAACTAGATGCTAAAGCTACACCTGGAGAAGAATCTGATATTGGGAAGACCAGTTCCATTGAGCAACATACTAACTAATGTGGCCCTGGGCTGGAGGCCGAGTAAAAGGAGGTGGTGATAGGAATGTAAGGAAATGACATGAGATGCCATTTGTAGGTTGTAGTTGGGCAGATGGGACCAGAGAGAATTCTTGTGAGGCTTTCCTGGTTGACTTGAGACTTTTGACCCCATAGACAGGGGCATAGAAGCATAGGAAAAAGGAAAGCTCTCTCCCTTCCTCCTTCCCTCTTTCCTCCCTCTGTCTCTCTCTTCCTCCCTCCTTCTCTCCCTCCCACACCATATAGACCTGGCTGTCCTGGAACTCACTATGAAGCCCAGGCTGGTCTCAAACTCAGAGATCCCTCTGCCTCTTCCTCTCCAGTGCTGGGATTTAAAAGTTTGTGCCACTGCGCCTGGCTTTAGTATCTTCAAAGATACCATTTTAATAGATGTTAAGATGTTTAGAGTACCCAAATTTATAAAATAGTATGTTTCTATCAGGCCTTAATATAGAATCACAATATTTACCTTTGAATTGTCATGTGTACCTAGGCATGCCAAAAATAATTTCGGTACATAGCAAGAATGAATTAAAAAGGGAACTGAAGGAGCCACGGTTTCTTATTACAATCTTTTTTGACATAGACAATATAGGAAAACAAACCAAAACACGGGAAAACAATTGTCATAGACACATATGACACAATGTAATTGAGTGTGCCCATCTTAGAAAAACAGAGGTAGAACCTGAGATATGAGGAAAGCTGATCACAAAAGATGAAAAGGTGAAGGCTGTCTTATTGACTTAAGGTTCTCTCTCCCATCTGCCCTCCTCCCCTCTGTGTATGTCTGTCTGTGTGTCTGTTTATCTGTCTATACATTAGAGATGGTATAGAGATACATTTAGAAAGAGTCACAAGCACCTAAGTGGCAGTGGAACTAAGGTCCAACCAGCTTGTGGAAATGTTGAACAGTTCTTTGCCAGATGTGTTTATGCTTATCTGCTGCATACTTCTCTAGCAAATGATTAATGATAGATGAATAACAATAAATAATTGTCATCAGTCGGGACATAACCATCCGGCCCCCCCGCCAACACACACACATTCCTTGCCTCCCTCCTCCAATTGTTTGTAGTCTGAAGAGTCAACTTGTGATTAGATACTGTGTCAGAAAACAGTACTCAGATCTTTCCACCTGGCCTCACAGTCATCAGTAACGCAGTCATGCAGGCAAGGAAAACACTTGTACAGAGTTACACTTGTGTAGTATCTATGTGCTCTGTCTTCTTGGGCCCCGGTGGTCCAAGAAGGCAGGAATGGAAACCATCTGGGGAGACACAGGAGATTCCCCCAGTGTCTCCAGCAAGGAGAATGGGGATGGATTGAGAGGCCAGATTGTGGCAGAACCAGCCACTGGCCATGAGCTAAAGCAAGGAAGAAAAAGAACACATCAGCCACAAGGCTTTCTCCAATGTAAGTGTGTGAGTATGTGTGATGCCACACGCCTCAAAGTAGGTCTCCAGAGAAGGAGGGTTGAAGTGACCTCAGGTAACAGGAGGGAGATGGGCAGGGACTGGTTACAGACAGCAGCAGAAACATGTCCAGAAAACATGATGTAAACAAATCACTGTGAAAGAGGAAGAATTTGGGGAGAAATAAGTAAGGGCAGAAATGTTACAATCTACCAGCCATCTGTGACGAAATTATCCATGTGCATATTTTTTTTAGGAATTCTTGAAAAACCTCTAGAGAAAAAAGCTGGTCGTAACTATGGTCCAAGAGGAAATAAAAAACTGGTTTATTTCATTGATGATCTGAACATGCCTGAAGTGGACTGCTACGGCACTGTCCAGCCTCATGCATTGCTTCGACAGCATATTGACTATGGGCATTGGTAAGCAAACCCCTGTCTTCTACTGTCCACCAAAAACTCATTATTACAGCAGAGGGACCCGTGAAGACAGAATTTTCCCAGATTGCTTAATTTTCTGGGAGCATTTTCTTTATCTTCAACTTGTAATCTTGTTTTATGTGCATGTGTATGTGTGTGTGCATACATGTTTGCACATATGTGTGCACAGGAGGAGGCCAGAGACCAACACCAGAAACCAGGTCACTTTTATGTCTTATTTTTTGAGAAGAGGGTACTTCATTGAGCCTGGAGCTCCCTGATGCTAGACTGGCTGGGTGCAGGGATCCTCCTGTCTCAACTTCTGGGACTAGAGGTGCATGCTACCATGCTTGCCCTTACTTGGATGCTGGCGATCTGAACTTGGGTCTTGGTGCATGTGTGGCAAGCACCTTACTGACTGAGCCGTCCTCCTAGTTACCCCCTTTCTGTATCTTTCAATCATATTAAACAGAACAGTCTCCCTTCACATCTTTGCAAGATTGGATTGAAAAGTAGTCAGGCAACATAGCAACTGTGTGGAAATTGAGCCACACTAAGTTATTGAAGGAAAGCTTGGCTTTACCCTGTAAGGATGTGAACATTTGATCATATCTGGGCACTCTTGTTTGCCATCTGTGACAGGAAACACAGGGTGAGGGAGCCCCAGCCCTACTCACTAACCCTTGCTGTGAGGACAGCACAATGTCCACCCATGTTAAGAGCCATGTGAAAATCAATGAGCAGTAATAGTTTATATTGATTCTGCTTCTGATCTTGACTTTGGCATCCAACAATTCTGTCACCTTCCATTTTCTGGGCTAAGGTTTTGATGTCCCCCAGATATGACCGAGAAGGTCAGTCTTGCAGAATGATTGTAATGTGTCTGAGATGAAATCTTTCACACACTGGTAGCTCCCTGTTTTGTCTTGTTTCTAGATTTAAGGTTCTGTTTTCTGTCCCTTAGGTATGATCGACAGAAGGTGATGCTCAAGGAAATCCGAAGCTGCCAGTACGTGGCCTGCATGAATCCCATGGTGGGCAGCTTCAGCATCAACCCAAGGCTGCAGGTGGGTTTCACACCACTCTCCCCAGTGGCCCTCAGATGTCATATTCAAAATGTAAACCATGCTGGGTATGTTGGCACAATCTTAAAATGCCAGCTCCGGGGAAGCTGAGGCAGCTGTGCTATGAGTTCAAGGCTAACCTAAGCTACACAGTGAATTCCAAGGTAGGCTGAGCGCCTTAGTGAGACCCTCTCTCAACAAAATACACCATCTTGTTTCTTGGTGCTCATACAGCAAGACTCCCCACTGGACAGTTAATTAAGAAGTTTTTTCTTTCCCAATCAATACAATATTTTTTTAATTTTACATTTTACATTTATAACAAAATGAATTGAAAGTGTTTCTGTCTAGTCCCTCGTCCACCCACCACCTGCGTCATTTGAACTCTCTTTAACCTCGTGCATTACTTACATTTGATGAGGCGATGTTGACACATAATTATTAACTAATGCTCAGAGTTTCCACTGAGGTTCCTTCTTTGTCTTACATGTTCTGTGGAGTTGACAAATGTATAATGGCAGGTGTCCACCATCAAAATATCACACAGAATAGGGTCTCTGCCTGAAGACCCTTCTACTATGTAGCCTGCTTTCCCTTGCCTCTGTATATCTTGCAGACATTAATCTTTTGAAAATCAATTTCAGTTTTGTTATTATGGCAAAATACATGTTACATAAAATGTATCAGCTTAACCAAGCATTCAAAGTGTACAGCTGAGTGTGCTAAATGCTTTCTCCTGCCCATCACCGCCGTCTGTCTCTGTGAGACTCTCACATGAAACTGAAACTCTAGCCATTAAGCAATGACACCAGTTGCTCTCTCCTCTGACACCCCTTCCTCTCTCTTCTGGGCCCTGACAGTCACCATCAGACTTTCTGTCTCTCTGGCCCCACCTCCTGTAAGTACTTCATATAAGTGGAGACCTACACTGTTTGTCTAAGGACTGGTGTACTTCACTTAGCATGTCGCACTAAAGATCACACATGTGGCATGTTGCATGATTCCCTTCTGAAGCCTGGGGGATGGCACTGTTTTGTCTTACATGCTGCATTTTGCTTATCTGTTCACTCACCCATGAACACTGGGTCACTTTCATGTTTTTATTTTCTTTTCCAAGGGAGAATAAAGCCATTCTGAATGTAGGGACACAAATCTCTCGCAGGAATCTTGCTTTTAATTATTTTGACTGTCTACCCAGAAGTGGAATTACAGGATCAGACAGTAATTTGGTTATTTATAACTTTTTGAGGACCTGTCATTCTGTTTCTATGATGGCCATGTCACCTTTTACCCCCACCAACAGTGCACAAGAATTCTGGTTTTTCCAGATCTTTGTCAACTCAGGGTTCCTACTTTGTTTCTTCATAGCAGCCATGCTAATGGGAACAGGGAAGTATCCGTATAGACCTGTTTTGTATTTCTCTGGTGACTAGACATCAGAGCATCTTTTCATGTCTTTCTTATCCATTTGTATATCTTCTCTGGGTAAGTTATTAGAGTCTTTGTGGTCATTTTTGAATCAAATTTTTTAGGGTTTTTTTTTCTGTTAAATTTCATGCATTCTCTCCATGTTGTGGATATTTAATTCCTAAGTTCTGATCGCTTTATTGGTTCAATAATTTGGTCTTTTCCAGAATGCTTTGTAGTGAGAATCATTTAGTATGTAACCCTTTTAGATTGGCTTCTTTAAGCCATGCACTTAGGCCCCTCATCTCCTTTAATTGCTTAGTAGGCTATTTTGTTTTCTTTCTGAGTGGCCCCTTGGTTGTATGAATGGACATAATTTATTCATTCATCAGCTGAGGGACAGCTTGGTTGGTTTGCTTTCAGATTTTGGCAATGAGGCATAAATCTACTATAAATGTAAATAGGCAATGTTTTGTGGGTAGCATATAAGCATGCTAATAGTAACATCATCCACCACTAACACCCATGCAATAGACAACACAGAAGGCATCTTCTCACTTATCTGAGTCAACTGCAGGTAAGCTAGGTGTCTCTGCTGGTCCTGTCTAGGCTCACTTTGAATGCCTGCTGTCACTGTGGATGTATGGGGTATGGCTGTCAACTAATCTAGTGTAGCATGAGCTGGAGTGGTGGTGACAATATGCCTCTGCCTTCTGTATCTTTCATTCTTTCGAAGACTTTAAAAGCTCACAGAAAGTCAAAGGCTTGAGAGAACAAGTATGGACATCAAGCCCTTGACAGTAACTAGCATTCTGTCATCTCCAGTTCACTCTGAGGATTTAAGCAGGTCACATGGCCAACCAGAGCCTGAGAAAAGGTGGCAGTGGTCCTAAGTAAACAAGAGAGCCAAAAAAAAAAAAAAATCAAGTGTTTGGATTGTTTTGTTTTGTGTTGCTGTAGTTTTTCTTGTCCTGCCAGGTCCTGCTTCTTTAGCCCCAAATGAACACACAGATGCTATTATTAGTTATAAAAACTGTTGGCTGATGACTAGGGCTTCTTATTGACTATCATTGTCTTGATTATTAACCCATTTCTATTGGCCTATGTATTGCCATGTGGCCTTATCTTACTGGAGAAGGGTCCACGCCTCTTACTCCTTTGTGGTCTACATAGCGACTCCTTTTGGCAGGTTCCCTCTGCCTACCTTTCCCAGAATTCTCCTTGTCTCCTAGCCCCGCCTATACTTCCTGCCTGGCCAATCAACTAGTAAGAGAAACATTATACAGAAGAACATCCTCCATCAGTTTCACTTGCATTTTCTGGTTCAGTTGTAATCTCTGTTATGTACTAATTGTTTTTCAGAGACATTTCACAGTGTTTGCATTCAACTTTCCATCACTAGAAGCACTGACAACCATCTATGGTCAGATCTTCAGCTTCCATCTCCAGCAGCAAGCATTCTGCCCATCAGTTCTCAGGACTGGCCCCTCTTTGATCCAGGCGACAATAGCATTCCATCGGATGATGGCAGAGAGCTTTGTACCCACGGCTATTAAATTCCACTACATTTTTAATCTGAGAGACCTATCAAACATCTTCCAGGTACCTCAACTGGCAAGTTAGCTTCTTGAATATCAGTGTAACTTTCGGCATTCATTTATAGAACTGTTTCAGTTTTAAAACTACACTTGGCTATGTTGTGTGTGTGTTTCTCTTCTTTTACCCATAAACCTCTCTGTGAAGTATCATGGCTGGCTTTATGACCTTCTGATCAATGATAGGGTGGTTCCCTTCAGGTTGTGCACTATCTGTGCTGATAATATAGCAAGGTACCTGAGACTTGGTAATTCATAAGCAATGAGACTTTCTTGCTCCTAGTCCAGTGGTGCTGAGAAGTCCACAGTCGAAGTACCAGCAAATTCAGTGTCTGGTGACAGCCTGGCCTGTGTTTTCAGGGCGGTGCTTTGAACATGGTGTCTACTCATGGCAGACAGGATTAAAAGAGCAAACACCTAGCACTGTTTATTTGAGGTCACCTCTCCTTATTAATAGCTACCAGAGGCCCCACCTCTTCATGCTATCACATTGGCAATTAAGTACTTTTTGATTTGTGTGTATATGTGTGTGTACACACACTCATGCATGGGCATGTGTGTATGTGTGAAGGGGTATGTTCTACCATGCTTGTTGAGGTCAGATGAGAACTTTATGGAGTTGGCTCCTCCTTCAACTTTTACATGAGTGCTTCTGGGGTTGAATCTAGGTCATTGGGCTCAACCACTGACCTGTCTCATTGGCCCTACAATTAAGTTTCAATACATAAATTTGAGGAGACATACAGACTGTGGCTGACAGTGAATTAGCAATAGCAGTAAAGGTAGGAATTTGAACTCTGTAAATTAAGAGCTTATTATTTTAAGGGCCAAGTAGGAGTAATTGCTCCTGTTTTTATGTAGTGTATCATTTCAAACACATATTAAAGTATGAAACTTTAAATTATAGATCGTTTGGTTTGGTACTGAAAATTATCTTGATTGCATAGTGTATTAGGGACAAACACAGAGACCAGGATTCCCTTTCAGAGGCAATGCCCCTAGTGATCTGAAGTGGGGTGAGGGGGCATTTGAGATTCAAACTATAGCGTGGTAAAAGGGGGCGGTGTTTACTATTGATTGTATAAAGGGGATCCTAAAGAAGGAGCTGAGGGTCTTGAATTGCTAAGTGGGATGTGGTGTGGTCTGCTATGTGCAGTGAAGAACCTGGGGAGTTGTCCAAGCCTCAGAGTTCCTTTGGGCAGAGGGCAAGTGAGAAAACTTCACAGGACCGCTGTACAGCTGCCTCGGAATCCTACTGCAGCACCAAACAATAGTGTGATGATAACTCGGGCCATTTGCTTTCACATTGTATTTCTAGCATCTGCCAGAAAGGCTCTGCTTTGCATAGCTGTGTTAAAAGCAAGTCTTCCTCTTAGCAGAAGAGGATAACAGGGATGTGGTCCTGCCTGCTTGGCCTCCAGGTCCAGGCTGCCTGCTTAACCTCCAGGTCCAGGCTGTCTGCTTCGCCTTCAATTCCCAGGGATGTAGTCTTGCCTGCTTAGCCTTCAAGCCCAGACTGCCTGGCGTATCCAATACCTGCAAACACTGTCAGCCTCTTACAGCTCAATTTTCCACAGTGTCCTCTGTGCTCTCCTGCGTGGGGAGCAAGCTGACTGTCCATGAGGCTGGAATCACCTGGACCCCAGATGCTAAAGGGCAGGGTTGGTGGGCAGAGGAGGCACAGTGAATCCTTGCTAATCATGGATCTGCCTTCCAAGGAGGACAATCTACATTTGATTGTGTGTGTGTGTGTGTGTGTGTGTGTGTGTGTGTGTGTGTAGTGAAAGGTTTCAACTGGCTGGTATCAAAGGATTAAAAACAAGGAAAGTCTGTGTCCTGTTGCTTTCTTTCTGTTTGTGCTTTGGTTTTTATAAAACCGGGTGGAGACTGAGATACATATGCAGAGGTGTGAGCTTTAGCTCCTGATGGCTCTTGAAATAGTTTTAGTTACATTCCTTAAAGTGGGTTTGATGAGGGAGCTGTAGAGCTGGATTGGCAGTTAAGAGAAATTGCAGCTCCTGCAGAGGTCCCAGGTTCTGTTCCTAGCTCTGACATGGTGGCTCACAACTATCTATAATTCCAGTTCTAAAGCTCTCACTCCCTCTTCCAGCCCCCTGGGGTATTGCTCATATGTGGTACACATCCATGCAAGCAAAACACCCATATACATAAAATAATAAATCTTTTTAAAGAAACATATATGATGAGGGAGAAAGATAACTCAGCAGCTGAGAGATCAGTTCTTCTAGAGGACCCAGGTTCAGTTCCCAGCACCCACACGGTGGTTCACAATCATCTGTAACTCCAGTTCCAGGGAATCTGATGTCATCTTCTGGCCTCCAAGGGCTCCAGGCACTGCTCATGTGGTGCACAGACATACATGCAGTTAAAACATTCATACACACTTTTTAAAAATGGGTATGATACTTGAATTTCTATGTACGTGTGCATACACACCATTCCTGTTTGTTTCTTTCAGGTTGCTAAATTCAGGGTAGAGTTAAGTAAATACTAGAAGTAGTGTTTATTTAGAATGGCATTGTCTTCTGAATTAAAGGTTCGTTTCCCAATTCCTCTCATAAAGGGGATTTTGTTCGCTTCTCCTGAGTGTTTAAAATGCCCAGAAGATTTAATATGCCTGTGGCTTCATGAATCATCCCGTGTTTACGGCGACAAACTGATAGACACAAATGACTGTGACTTGTTTCAGAGGAAACTGCTGGAAGCTGCCCACAAGCACTTTAAAGTAAGTGAGTGAAGGTGAGCGAAGGTGATCATAACTGTTCACTGGGCTCTGGCTGGACTCTGGTTGCAGATAAGCAAGCATACTTCCCTTTCCTACATTATCTGAGATTCACAGACATGCTGGGTCTGGAGTAAGGGACATTGTCCTCTCTACTCGTGCACAGACCTGCTGGCACAAGTAGGTCTCTTGGATAGGTCTCTGCCCAGGTAGGTGGCTCTCATGACAGTTTGTCCTTCGTTCTCCTGCAGGGTGCTGACAATAGTGTGCTGGTGCAGCAGCCTCTTATTTATTGCCACTTTGCCCATGGTGAGAAAGACCCATGTTACATGCCAGTGAAAGACTGGGAAGGGCTGAAGGCAATTCTTAGAGAAATGGTAGACAACTACAATGAGCTCCACTCTGCGATGCACCTGGTGCTGTTTGAAGATGCCATGCAACACGTGTAAGTTAGTTGGTCTCAGTGTCTTATCCATTCACAGTTGTTCTTATGACACTAAAATACACGTCACTGTTAACTGTGTCACAGTCTTGACTCCATACATGGGGGCAAACTATTTCCTAAAGGGCTACAGATCCATCAAAAAATGTTTTATTTCACTGCAGCCCTGTCAGAGAAGAGTACTAAGAAAGAGGAACAGAAAATGACTTGTGTGGGATTTGTGGGTAGGACTTGACTTAACATGGAATAAGCAGACTATATTGAATGCCTACTGCATTCTAGGAAATAACATGGCCAATTCCTTCGGTGTCCTACAGAATTAGTGAAAATAAAAGGGTGGGCATGTCCTCTTAAAAGAAAATTAAAGGAAGTTGCTTGTCTTGGGGTAGAGCTTGAGTGTCAAGGCTCACATTCCAGTCTGGGCGCCTCCACCCAATACCTTCTCCAGTGAGTATGTGAATGTTCCAAGTGAACATTTACCAGAACATGAACAAATGGGCAAGAAAAATGTCCCGAGAGTAACATGTTATGCCAAGAAGTAAAGCAGGTAGATGGCGGAAGAAGATGCAGGTTGAGAATACGATGCCTCATCCAAAATGCCTGGGGCCAGAAAGGTGTAGAGTTTCTGATATTTTCTTCAGGTTTTGAAGTGTATATGAAGTGAGACAACTTGGTGATAAGCCCCCAACCTAAACACAGCATCACTTTACTTTTCATATATTAAACTTTCCACACATCACCTCCAGGTAATTTTGTGCATTTTTGGTATAGCTGAGGTTTGACTGTACAATCTGTCTCCTAGACCCATAAAATGTTTTAGGTTATTAGAGCAGTTAAGATTTGGGGGGTAAAGGATGTTCAACCTGTATTGGGTTTCTGCAGGAGGAGATGGGCATTTAAGCTGAGATCTGTATGATTAGGGCAACTTATTATAGAAAGATTTGGGAGAAGCGGGTCGCAGAGAGCCATTGTGTCCCTGAACCATGAATGCTCAAATAACAGAGTTAAAGATCAAGGTGACTATAGCACAAGTAACATAGTTTAAAAACAAGACAGGCAAGTTATGAGGCTGGGGAGGCATAAATAGGCCTTATGTCCACAGAACAGTTTCTTATGAAGATAAAGAACCTTGAGAACAGGCTGCTGGGTAGGCTGTAGTACAGGAACTAACTGCTCATCTAAACAGTTTCAGTTGCCACCAAGCAGGAAGTCAATTGCATCTTCACAGCCAATACAACTCTCCTTGCCCAAGTCACACTCATTCTCGAAGGCCTTTCTAGGAAGTGACAATGGCTAAGAGTTCAAACTTAAAAAAAAAATCATAAAAAAATTAAAAATGAGAGAAATTATTCATGAAAGAAGTGAATCTGAATGGGGGAACTATAGTAAATTTAATTTTTAGAAGAGTTATTATAAAATGTTTAGTCTTGGGGCTAAAGGAAAATGCTAGGGGCCACCCCATCATCACTTACTGTGAGCATGCTAAGTATCAATATTTACACCTTTTCAGTGTAAATACCTTTTCAGTGACCCCTTAATTACACATCCCAGGGAGTTCAGGTGGAAACCAGGGAGTTATTAGTCACACTGGCAGCACATGTAACCAGGTGAAACCAATCCCCTCCAACACTGAGGGGAGAAACCTTTCCTATATTGGGAAGACTATCTTCAGTATGAGATTCTCTGTGGCCCAAACCACAAGGTGTTTCTTTGATCGGGGACTCTAAGAGTAAAGCTGATTGATCAACATTAGGGATGACCTAAGGGAGTGTCCATGAACTTTGAAGAAAGGGACATTGTCACTTAGTGAATCCTGTTAGATAAAAACCTGGAAACATGCCTTAAGATGCAACCAAACCTAACTTTGGACTTGAGGTTTCTCTTCTGCTGTATCTTTCCCAAGGCTATTTTGTTCCTGTGGTCACAGGAAATAAAATCTAAGGGAATCACCAAGCTTGTGGCACTAACCTGTCTTCTCAGTTACTGGAGACTTGAAGTGGTGTTACACACCCATCCTGGTTTAAGTGACTCCAGTTTAGTTTTCTAAGAACAAGAGTGATGGGGGCCATCCAGGGCTGGGATTTATTTCAGAAAAGCAAACATAATAACGTCCAGCTTTTGCAGCTAGACATCTACGTACTTTGTATTTTGTGGGTTGTTTCATTAATCTGTATAACTCATATATGAGCCATTTCTTTAATTAAACAAGTATTACTACACTAATGTTAAAACCAACATATTCATTCCTGGAAAAAGCAGCAATGATACTGTTAGTATAAACATCCAGATTCTCTAGACTAAAGTAGCATGAGGGGGTTGGCTGGTCTTGTGAGTAAGTTAACTTTCAGATAACAACAGCTAACCCTGTGGCTGCCTTTAGGGAAAGGGGAGCAAGAGTCATATCAAGAAACAAGTGATGGGGCTAGAGAGACAGCTCAGTGCTTAAGAATACTTTCTGCTTATGCAAAGGACCCCGGTTCAGTCCCCAACGCTGACATAATGGCTCACAGCCATTTTTAATTCTCCTCATTGGAGGGGGTGGGCAGAGGGGGGAATCCAACGCTTCTTCTCACCTCCTTAGACCCCAGGGAGATACTTGGCGTACATACATAGAAGCGGACAAAGTACTCACATAAAATAAAAACAAACGTGTTTTAGAGAAACACGTGGAGATTGTTTGTTGAGCCAAGCCAGACAATCCAATCCAGTTTTCTCTCCCTTTTTCTTTTTTTCCAAGTGGTTCTACAGCAAAGTTTGTATACAAAGGGAGATTTTCCCCAGGGGTCTTTGTACTGGGGGACATCCAGAGAATTTCTTGTTAATCAGAAATACAAACCTGAAGCTTACACATAGGCCTTGTGTATATTTTCAAGCAGGGTCATGCAGTGCGAGTCCAAATGTAATACCCGAGCAGCTTTATAGGCAAACATTACAAACCAGATGCTGTCCTTGACTGCGAAGCACGTGAACAAGGACAAAAATCATTCTGATAAAACTGGCATTTCCTCCCTACACATTCTTACAACCCAGGATGTTTTGATTTCATGACTCGATGGGGGGGGGGGCACTGATTCTTTCTCCAGGTGTCGAATCAGCCGAATTCTTCGGACCCCTCAAGGCCATGCTCTCTTGGTTGGCGTTGGGGGCAGCGGCAAGCAGAGCCTGTCACGGCTGGCAGCTTACATCTGCAGCCTGGAGGTCTTTCAGATCACTCTGACTGAAGGCTATGGGACCCAAGAGCTTCGGGTGAGGAAAACCTGACTGGCAGAACAGTCACACATGGCTATCCACAGGGGATTAGGGCCGGGACGCTGTGAAATTTAAGGTGTGGGTGGTCATATTCCTTACATGACCTCAACATGGTCCCTTGCATTTTAAGTCATGTCTAGGTGGCTTACAACACCTAATCCAATATCAGTGCTGTTTGCTGTGTTGCAGTGCTTACAGGTAACCATGAGAAAGTCTGTAGGTGACAAGCACACACACACACACACACACACACACACACACACACACACACACAATATGCCCTCAGGGTTTTTTTTCTTGTGTTTGTTTGCTTGCTTGCTGTTGTCTGAACCTGTGACTGTGGAGGGCTGATTGTATTTCTGGCCCCTTTGTCAGGCAGACAGGGCATAAGATGATAGTGAATCCATGTCAGCTCTGAGATGTAGATAGGGCCTCCCAACTGTATGGGAAGAGGGGCTCTTTCCAGAGGTAACTTCGATACTTTTGTCTTTATGATCAAATACATTAACACATTTCTAAATTTGTAATAGGCTCAATAACATGAACCTGGCTGAAGGAAAAAAAAAAAATTGTCTTAAACATACAAACATGTTTTTATTTTCTGCCTTAAATGAACTCAGTGTTCAGTATAGATGTTTACAAAGTGGAGTCAGAGATAGGTTGATAAACGGCAGTTTATTGGGGAAAAGCACTCACACAAGGGAGCCAGTGACCAGGTTTGCACCTGAGCAGGATGGACCCAGAAATGCTTCCTAGTCAGCTCAGCCAGGCGAAAGAGCCTCTCTCCTTCTTAAACCCATTTTATGTAACTCTGACCACACCCACTTGGTACCTCTTAATCAGGGTTTCTCCCTACAGTTCAGTGCTATTCATGTTCTTACATGACAAAGGGAAAAAAGAGAGACACTTCCTTTGTAATTCCAAGTAGGTTTCTTGTCCTGTGGATAAGAGCATGACAGCAAGCTGCAATGAGAACAGCATGCTTAGAAAACTACCCCCCCCCCCGTGTGTTTAGATTTTTGCTTTTTCAACCCATAGTAGTACTTACAAAATAATGCCTAGAATTAAACTTTTTTGTTGTTGTTTTGTTTTGATTTTTCAAGACAGGGTTTCTCTGTGTCGATTTGTAGGCCAGGCTGACCTCAAACTCACAGAGATCCGCCTGCCTCTGCCTCCCCAGTGCTGGGATTAAAGGTGTGTGTGCCACCACCACCTGGCTTGAGATTTAAACTTAAAAAAAAAATGCTTTTACTATTACTGACCAAATAATGAAGCTAAACTCCTTTTGGTGAGCAGAGGACTGTCACTGCACTGCTTGACAGAGGCGTCACTGAGATCACATCCTCCTTATCAGGCATGGCTCAGCAGCAGCCTGTTTTCATCCACAGACTCTTCTAAAGTCACATGCTGCTCACCAGTAAATGCCAGAATTGGAGGTGATGTGACGGGTCACTGGGAGGAGAGCCACAGCGACTGCCCCACATCCCCTGTACCTTTTTCCTCCCAACACCCGGCCACACACTCCCTACCTCCCATCTGCATTTGAACAAAGCATGAGCGATGACTTCCTCTCCTTACAGGTAGATCTGGCCAATTTGTGCATCAGAACCGGAGCCAAGAACATGCCCACCGTGTTCCTGCTGACAGATGCCCACGTTCTAGACGAGAGCTTCCTGGTGCTGATTAATGACTTGCTGGCATCGGGTGATTAAATGGACACATTTCTTGAAAGATCTTTCCACATGACGAATTATCTGTAGTCTCAATGAACTTTAAAGAGAGATAATTTATCTTGGAGATGTTTGCTAGGGCAGTCTTTGGGGAGAAAGCTATAAACCTAACTAATTTGAACTATATTGCTTTCTTAGTCAGCTTATGGATGAGAGGTGCCTCTAGCAGGCTCCAACTGAAGTAAATGTTATTATTCCTCCTTGTGCAGCTCTAGAGTGTATGCTGGGCTAGGGGATGGGTGTGAGGGGTCCAGTAGGGCATGGGTCAACTGTGGATGTAGGGGATCTAGAGAGCGTGCAGGTCCAGTGGGATACAGGTCTAGGGGCTACGTGGGTTAGTAGGTGTGAATGTCCAGTGGGGGGCGGGGGTCTAGAGAACATACAGTTCTAGTGAGTGTGCTGCTAACTGCTTGCTCTCAGTGAGTTCTGTATCAGAGCAAAAGGCAAAGGAAGATACTTCTAATTTCAAACTTTGTCTTTACATGGAGATTCATCTTAGCATTTCAAACATTAGAAAACCCATTGTAAAATGCAAATTGCACCATCATTGTGTAATTCCGTCCATTCTTTGGGGGTAGGTGACATCTCAGATCTGTTCAGTGATGAAGATGTAGACAAGATAGCTTCTGGGATTCGGAATGACGTTCGTGGTCTCGGCATGGTGGACTCCAGGGAAAACTGCTGGGCGTTCTTTTTGGCCAGAGTCCAACTACAGCTCAAAGTAAGGAGCATTCCCTTTTATCTGTGTATTGCTTTAAAGCTGCTGGTGGCATTCCAACTCGACCAGGGTTTATATCATGGGTTTGAGCTTCAGGGACTTCTTTTGAAGGAACAGGCGCATTTTTCCAGGCCGGGTCTAGAGTGTGTCCCTGGGCCCAGCTATAGTGCCGAGCTCCTGAGGAGCCCTGGGCTGAGCAGTATGTACCACGTGCTATTAAAGCCATGTTCCTCTGTCCTAGAGGAGCTGATATTATAGGAGGTAAAGAATGTCACTAAGAACTGTCCTATGGGACAAGTGTAAATAGCCCTGTGGGACAGCAGGAAGCAACAGCCTTCTTCTTAATGGGAGCAGGTGTTGTCACGGAGGAATTGTGTTCCATTGTCTAGTACTTCTGTCTGTCTCAGGGAACAGCAGACTGCATGCGACCCGACTAGTAAGGGTCAAAATCCAAGATTCTCAGGATGATTTCCACAAAGTGTGTGTTGCTATTATTAGTTTCAATGTTAACCACAGCAAGTTAGGTACTATTTGGTTTTTAAGGCTTTCTGGAATAAATTCCTTACTTTATATGGTGAAGAGTAAGCTGAGAGACATCAGTTTATTTTGTCCCCAAAGACGGCTTTATCTTAGTACAGTCTGTTTCTTTCTTAGCAGCTTCATGCATCAGCTATATTACATCCGGAATAGCCATGGTTGCTGGGTCTCCTTCAGATTCGCCATTCTGGTTCCTTGCTAAGCAGCTTCCTTTGGTTCCGCCATTATACTATGCAAAGTAGCAACACTTACTTACATATTCTAATATCTAATTACTGCCTCTGATCAAACTTCCCCTTACTCTCCTGTGTTCATATGTGTGAACAAGCACTAGAATCATACCGTCACATTCTGACACCATCTTAATTCTGACTAAATCATGCTAAATAGTCATTTTCTGTAAGGGTGTATTGGATTTTATGATGTAATGCATTGTTCTATTGTTCTCATAAACTATCTGATTTTGTTTCAGGAAAAGTGCTATCTTTTAATTTTTGTGGCTAGCAGCTATCTCAGCTTCCACCTTACAGATTTTGTTGTTGGTTTTCATGTATATGTGTGAGTGTGTTCATGTGGGGCGTGTATATATAGCTGTACATGGGTACACACAGGTTTACACTGATGTATGCATGTGGGTTAAAGGTCAGAGAGCAACCCTGTGTCATTCCTCCAGTGCCTTCCACCTTTTATTTTTCAGACAAGGTCTCTCAGTGCCCTGGAGCATCACCAGGTAGGCTAGGCTGGCTGACCAGGGCTTCTAGGAATTTACCTAGAAGGCTCCCATTTCACCCTTGCTGGGATTACACATGCAGCTTTAATTTTGCTATTTGAGACCTGGTTTTGTGGCCTGTGCTAGCCTCAAACTTATAACCTTCTGGCTTTGGCCTTCCAAGTGTTGGGGTTGTAGGCCTGCATCACCTGCCTAGACCCTCTCCAAGCAGTTTCTTTATATATTTTTTATTTAAATGAGAGACAATCTTATTTTACATATCAATCCCAGTTACCTCTCCTTCCCATCCTCCCATGCCCCCCACCAACCCCCCATCCCACCCCTATTCACTCCCCAGGGAAGGAGAGGCCTTCCATGAGGGATTATCAAAGTCTGTCACATCATTTGGGGCAGGGCCTAGGCCCTCCCCCATGTATATAGGCTGAGAGAGTAGCCCTGTATGTGAACTGGGCTCCCAAAGTCCATTTGTGCACTAGGGAGAAATACTGGATCCACTTCCAGAGGTCCCACAGACTGCCCAGGCCTCCTAACTGACATCCACATTCAGTGGGCCTGATTCAGTCCTATGCTGGTTCCCCAGCTGTCAGCAGTTTCTAGGAGTTGTTTGATGTCATCTAGCCTGCAGGCAAAGACTGTTTTTTGACTGTGCAGCCTATTCCCATTGTTCTTGTAAGGACTGCAGAAAAGCAGTCTAAACAGCGGCGCTAACAGCGATTGTTTCTGGATCCTGACTTGAGCAGGGAGTTTCTGATGTTTCCTGGGAATGTATCCTATGGGCTCCTGATTTCACACATCCATTTTGTCAAGGAGGTCTCTGCTGAATTCCTTTTCAGTATCTGTTGAGATAATTACATAGTTTTTCTTGTGCTTATTAGTATTCCCAGGGTTAAGACGGACACCAGTGTTCTGCATTTTCATATCATCATAGCCATCAGTCTCGCTTTATACATTTCTTTCATTCTACATACTAGCAAAGCTTGCTGAGGCAGAGATCTGCTTCTGGCCTTCTCAATCTGATGACCTCTTCACCCAAGGGAGAGCCAACATGCAAAAACAGCCCGCCGACCAGCTTTGCAATGAAATAGTAGCTTCATTCTTTGAACTTTGAACTTGGTATCTGACCCTCGTCTTTGGATCTTAAAAAGCTTCCACATTACTCTGCTGTCTTCACATACCATGTGATTTATCAGGTCAGGCAACAGACTGGATTTCTGATCGGTTGGTATCTCCCTTGCCAGCACTGCTGACTAGACAAGTTGGGCAGCTAACGGTATCACAAGGGTTGCTGGTACCACCCACCCATCCACTCATGCTCACCACCTGGTATTGGTTTGTTGGACATGCAAGGCTGAGATAGTCTGTTAGCATGTAGATGTTGTCCTCTGAGTCCCATAAGGCAGGCTTCTCCCCATTACCAGTGTCCTTGGATTGCTGCAGAGGAGCCAGTGAACCACTGCCAAATGTTTCTCTCCCCCTCCAGTGTAGATACGAGCCTCCCTACAGGTTCCTTGTCTTGTCCTAGAAGACCAGGGTTAACCCAGGAAAGTTTGTTTCCCTTCCTGACCATGTATGATACGGGCAGCACTTGGCTTATTTATCAACATCTACTGTGTCCAGATTTAGATATGTAGCTGCTTCACGATATGTCTGTCTGTCGAGGTATAGGTAGAAAAACCCGTTTCTGTTAATATAAGAAACACCAGTCATTGTAGAGAACTTAAGAACTGAGAGCCACATGAAGAGAATAAAAACTCTAATTGTATCATCTAGAGATCACACACTGATAAGCTGCACCCAAGTTTCCAGCATGTGAACACTCTGTGTCTATATGTAATGAGTATGCATCCAGGAAGGCTTCAGGTAATATCTCCCTTAATGGTTTTTTTTTTTTTTTTTTTAATTTTCTTAGGTTAGAAAGCCCACCCAGAAAGAAAGTTAAATGGTTCAGGAATTTGATGTACAGAATGGACTATTTAATGCCAATGTGCTCTGCCCTAAATAACCACCTATATTTATTAGGAACTGACTGCTTGTCAGATTTCCTTTTGATTTTTACTGATATGGAGGAATTTTTATGGAGTGAGGAGTATATGCCTGTAATATACCTTCCTGTTCGCTGTGTTGCTTACTTTTATCAAATTTTATCATAATTCTGCTAACGTTCTTTATAGTGGCCTCTGTTTACATTTATGAATATTTTTAACTCAGATATTTTCTTTGTAACTTTTTTTTCTTCACAACTTTAGAGCTAAGACTTCTAAAGGAAGCATTTCTGCAAGACATTGTTTAAAAATATTATCCCCAAATTTTTTATTTAAATTTAGAAACAAGCTTGTTTTACACGCCAATCCCAGTACTCTCTCCCTCCCCTCCTCCCCTGCACCCACCAACTCCCTATCTCATTCCCTTTCTGCTCCCCAGGGAGGTGAGGCCTTCCATGGGGGATCTTCATAGTCTGTCATATCATTTGGAGCAGGGCCTAGGCCCTCCCCGATGTGTCTAAGCTGAGAGAGTATTTCTCTATGTGGAATGGGCTCCCAATGTCTATTCATGTACTAGGGACAAATACTGATCTACTACCAGAGGCCCAATAGGTTGCCCAGTCCTCCTAACTGACACCCACAATCGGGGGTCTGGGTCAGTCCTATGCTGTTTTCTCAGCTATCAGTCTGGGGTCCATGAGCTCTCTTTTGTTCAGGTCAGCTGTTTCTGTGGGTTTCTCCAGCCTGGTCTTGACCCCTTTGCTCATCACTCCTCCCTCTCTGCAACTGGATTCCAGGAGTATGGCCCAGTGTTTAGCTGTGGGTATCTGCTTCTGCTTCTATCAGCTACTTGATGCAGGCTCTAGAATGGCATATAAGGTAATCATCAATCTCATTATTGGGGAAGGGCATTTAAGGTATCCTCTCTACTATTGCTTAGATTGTTAGTTGGGGTCATCCTTGTGGCTCTCTGGGCATTTCCCTAGTGCCAGATTTCTCTTTAGACCTATAATGGCTCCTTCTATCATGGTATCTCTTTTCTTGCTCTCCTCTGTTCTACCCCTGACTCAATCTTCCTGCTCCCTCATGTCCTCCTCTCCCTCCTCTTCTCCCCTTCTATTTCTTCTAACTCCCTCTCCCCTCCCCCCCATGCTCCCAATCTGTGGTACATTTGCACAATGTACACATTACACTCATCGGGGAAAAAAAAACAAAAAACAAAAAACAAACAAACAAAAAAAAAACAAAAAACAATGGAATCTTGAAATCTGAAGGCAAATGGATGGAACTAGAAGAAACCATCCTGAGTGAGGTAACCCAATCACAAAAAGACAAGCATGGTATGTACTCACTCATATATGGATTTTAGACATAAAGCAAAGGTTTACCAGCCTACAATCCACACTGCCAGAGAAGCTAGGAAACAAGGAAGACCTGAATTTGCTTTAAATTGAAATGCTTTTAATGTTTATTCCTAGATTTTTTTTATATAGTATAAGGTGATTTTATTGTATTTTTAGCATGAAAAATTCCCCCAGGACTCTTATAACATAATCTCTCCTTCAACTAGCTGATTTTTGAAATCTATGTATGTCTGCATTTAGTCAGAGTGTCTTTAGTTGGCCTTTGATAATGTGGCTTTCATATTCATTTTACACCTTTTTACATTGATTTCTTATCTGGGTATTTTGTAGTGTCTCTCCCTCCTGCTGTGTTCCTAACAGACACTGTGGATTCCTAAGAAAGTCAGTGGA